TGCCTATGTTATCATATCACAGCTTTTCATTTGGAAGAGAGGGATCAGTCATTTTATATCCTTCTTTCATGGCCTTGTGTAAAAGATCTCAAATTATTCTGTTAATGACACATAATAAAGACTCAATAAATATTTATTAGAAAAATGAGGAGGAAGAGTTCTATCTGAAGCTATATAGAGTAGTGGCTAAGAGCATGGGCCTTTAATGGCTTGGGTTTGAAAATGATTCTTAATCACTCTAACTCTGTCTTTTGTCTGTAAAATGGGAAAAAATAACAGTACTTACCTCAAAAATTGTTGTGAGGGCACAATGAGCTAATACATGTAAAGCAACTTAATGTGGTACCTGATACTTATAACTTTCAACAAATATTAACTATCACCATTTGAGTATTATTATTTGATGGTACATTCTGTTTTCTTTATGGCATCGAGGACACTTTCTTAGTTCACTGATGACCTTAGATCTCTCTGATTTCAGAAAGGTTTTTTATGTGTTTTTGTTTGTTTGTTTCTCATTAAAATTATGAGGAACTTGTTTGGAACACATTGAACTGATCATTTTACTTTGATCAACTAAGTGTAAAAATGATCCTTTTTTTCTCTAAACCAACATTTAGTCAGTATTTCTGAGACAGTGTTGATCAGCAGAAGACCTACTGCAAAGCCAAATTTTATGTTAACTAGTCATTAAGAAAAGGATATTGACTCAGATATACTTAACCAGTCAGTGGAATTAGGTTCTGCCTACTTTCTGTCATGTTTCCTACATAAGCTCTTTATAGTCCATATTCCCTCAGACCCTTAGATTAGACTCATTTTTATCATATCAGCATGTTGAAGACTTCTGCCAATTCCATTTTGCTGTCCTAATCTGTTGATTTATTTTGTTATTCACTTACTATTTACTACCTTAATATAATAGTAGATGACAAGGAAGGTTAAACTAGGTTAACTAGTTTAGGTTAAACTAAAGCGAAAAATGGAGAGTAATTGCCAAGTTCATCTGTAATTTATATAAT